AAACAGACAAGTGACATGAAAACAAGTAATAATAACAAATAACAAATTTGGGGACAGTTTGACCTAGAGCCCACTAACTGGCCATTAGGGGCTCTCTCTCTTGGAATAACATTGCCCAAAGGGTGAATAAAGCAAATTGTGGCAATAATAGTGATTTAATGATTGGAGAAACCTGAACATGATACTTGTCTGTTGTGCTGAATCGTTTATTACTCTTATGATTTGCAGGTGGTTGTAAATAAGCTGTTTACTTTAACAGGTTTGCTTTCTAGCTGAATTGCAAAATACAACTAGAACGATTAATTGAGACTAATCGCAACTAACCGGAAACTGAGGAGGTTCTATATAAGGAGGAATTAAAACAGGTATAAAATGCATCTGATCTTTAATTGCAGGTGGGACCATGAAGATTTTTTGGTACAGATTGCAGGTTGTTGCTCATTGTTGAAGTGTGCTCATAAAGGCAAAACCTATATAGGGGGTCTATAATTTGGTTTGTGTTTTAATAATTTAGGTATGGCAAAATTAAAGGTTTCTAGACAATTTAGGGAACGAGTGAGAAGCATAATTAGATGATCAGAAACTGAGTACTACACTCAAGTTAGAATTAAGAATGCCCAATTTGTTTGAGGTCTGTTGTTCATTTTTATACACACATTGCAAATGTGCTTATAAGGAGCTGGCACTTAGTCTGTGAAGGTCAAAAGCTTCATCCGACAACGGATCGGATTGATATATTGGAGCTATTGACTTCACGTGCAGAGGGTTAAATGCATGCACGCTTACACACATAAGCATGGCATAGGATTGGAATAAACAAAGTCAACAACATTAGGTTAGGAGAGCCAGCACAGGAGAGGTGTTGGCTTTCTGTCTCTTGCAGAGAAGGGAACAGACACCAGACGGGGACACGGAGATATGGGGACCCTTCACAGCAACTGGGGTCAAGTGTCATGGCCTTGGGGCTCCTTGATAAGATGGATCCCATAACCACAGCGATAACCAGGAAGGGGTTGGCGAAACCTAGGAACACCAGAGACCAACGTGGTTCGAGAGGCTTTTGGCAAAAAGGGGGACACGGCGGTGACAACGGACAACAAACACACAGATCTGTGTAGCGACTGAAGGGTGGTCTAACCCCGGAAGTCGAAGAAAGAAGAATCCGAGGGCGTTTCTTCACTCCAAGAGGAGGTGGTAAAGGGGCCTGAAGCGTGTCAGGCTGAAACTCGAGTCTGAAGCTAAAAGAACAGCTGGGTTGTGGGAAAATTGGAAAACAACGGAGGTGTTGGGATTGATAAGTGTCATAACGTGTTTGTTTGGTTTGGAAATAAATCCTGGTGTGAGTTGGGCTGGCAAGCCAGCCCAAAGAGGAGGAATGTGACCAGGAGATATTTTATTTTGTATTCTTATGATCACAGTTATAATCAGAAGTATCAATCATTAATCATTTACCATTGTTGAACCAGTTGACAGAATAATCTTTGAACCATATCTATGTTGCAGTTCATGACTCCTCAGGGGACCGACCCGGAGGGTGACGGTCCAGAAAGTCATAGTCCATGTGATCAGGGGGCTGGCCCGGGGGGTGACGGTCCAGAAAGCCACAGTTCATGTGATCAGGGGGCCGTCCGTGCGGACGGCAACGGCGGCGACACGGAAACGGTTCAGGGGGCCGACCTCGACGGCGGTGACGTGGAAACAGTTCAGGGGGCCGGCTGTGCGGAAGGCGACGGGGCGGAAACAGTTCAGGGGGCCGGCCGTGCGGAAGGCGGCAGCGGCGCCCAAGTGTCAGGCGTACCGGCCGAGGCTTGGAGGGCACAGGACCAGGTGACGCTGAAGCAGAGGCTGGCCCAGGCGACGCTGAAGCAGAGGCTGAGGCCGGACCAGGCCTATCAGAAGCAGAGGCAGAGGCCAGACCAGGCGTAGCAGAAGCACAGGCAGAGGCCGGACCAGGCGTAGCAGAAGCACAGGCAGAGGCCGGACCCGACGAGGCTGAAGACTCTGAGGCCGGACCGACGAGGCTGAAGACTCTGACGAAGCTGGACCAGACGAGGCTGAAGACTCTGACGAGGCCGGACCAGACGAGGCTGAAGACTCTGACGAGGCCGGACCAGATGAGGCTGAAGACTCTGACGAGGCCGGACCAGGCGAGGCTGAAGGCTCTGATGAGGCTGGGCCTGGCGAGGCACAGGCTGAAGCTGGACCAGCCGATGACGAGGTGGCCGCAGATGGCGGCTGAACGGTCCCCTCGGACCCTCCAGCTGACGAGGCATGAGGCTGGACGGGCTCCTCGGGCCCTCCAGCTGACGAGGCAGGTTGCTTTTCAAGTTGCAGCAACACACAGTCTATAGTGGGTGAAATGAGTTTGTATGAGTTCTCAGACTGAGGTGTGGCAGAACCAGGTGAGGCGTCGTCCTCAGGCTGAGGCGTAGAAGCAGCAAGCAGTAGCGCAGCAGGTGGTGGTCCTGCAGGCGGCGGCACGGGAGCCGCAGGAGGTGGCGCTGCAGTCACAGGTGGTGAAGCAGAAGGTGGCCAGACGGGCTCCTCAGGCCCTCCAGCTGACGAAGCATGAGGCTGAACGGGCTCCTCGGGCCCGCCAGCTGACGTGGCGTGAGGCTGGACGGGCTCCTCGGGCCTTCCAGCAGACGTGGCATGAGGCTGGTGCGGTTCTCCTGAACCCCCAGCTGACGTGGCATGAGGCTGGATGGGCTCCTCGGGCCCTCCAGCTGACGAGGCATGAGGCTGGATGGGCTCCTCGGGCCCTCCAGCTGACAAGGCATGAGGCTGGATGGGCTCCCCGGGCCCTCCAGCTGACGAGGCATGAGGCTGGATGGGCTCCTCGGGCCCTCCAGCTGACGAGGCATGAGGCTGGATGGGCTCCCCGGGCCCTCCAGCTGACGAGGCATGAGGCTGGTGTGGTTCTCCTGAACCTTCAGCAGACGAAGCATGAAGCTGGCTGGATTCTCCTGAACCTCCAGCAGACGAAGCATGAAGCTGGCTGGATTCTCCTGAACCTCCAGCAAACGAAGCCTGAAGCTGGCTGGATTCTTCTGAACTTCCAGCAGACGAAGCATGAAGCTGGCTGGGTTCTCCTGAACCTCCAGCAAATGAAGCATGAAGCTGGCTGGGTTCTCCTGAACCTCCAGCAGACGAAACATGAGGCCGGACGGGCTCCCCGGGCCCTCCGGCTGACACTGAAATTGGCTGCACCAGCTGTACCTCCGTCTCCGGCTCCAAACCGGCCTGGATAGCAGTCCCACAGCAGCTTAGCTGAGCCTGATGGCTAGCTTTTCCAGGGCAAACAGTCTCGGTATAGCCGGGCTCATTAACCGGAAAAGTAGTGTCAATTTCAACAACTTCCTGAGAGAAAACATGAGGAGCCAAAATGTAATCACTCACTTGCGTTTGTGATACGGAGCGTCGGTGGCGCGCACGCCGCTTTTTCTTAGGAGTGGAAGACGGCGGAGCGATGGGTGGAAGTCCCTGGTAACTCCGAGGTCCCCCGAGAGCCAGTCGAGTTCCCCGGAAAGAGTGCTCGTGCTCCGGAATGAGCCACGGCTTCCACCGGAGCTCCTCCTCCAAGAGAGCGCAGAATATAGACTGGCGCTCGTCGTCGTCCAAGTCTATGGTGTGCGGCGCTTCCTCGCGCTGAACTGTGACAGGAGTATGGCGAGACTGTGATGAGGGCGTGGAAACTGGTGAGCTGAGAGGTGCTGACGCTGCGGCGAATCTCAGCGAACCGACACGAACACACTCAGGTTCCGGAGGCAGCAATGGAGATGACTGATTGTGGGGTTGTTGTGACTGGTGGGTGCTGGAAGCCATTTCCTGACTCGACAGTCCCTGGGCCTGCAGCATCTCCTTTATCCTCGTAAAGGCATCAACTATGGCAGGTGAGTCCGGGAGCTGGAGAAGGCGGGGATCCCTCTCCATAATAGCTTCAGCGACGTTAATCATTACCAGCTTGCTCTTCAAATCGGGCGCTGTAAAGAAGCGGTCGAGGATCGCTTGGATCCGAGCAGTCTCCTCCAGACACTCGGTGAGAGCAGAATGCGCTGGGTCCATGACTGGTCAGTTTGTTCTGTCACGGCGGGGTGCGCCGATGTGTGCAGAAACAGGACCCAGAAGCAGATGATGACGAGGAATAGTAATGATTAACAGAAAAGTGAACCTTTATTGCGATGACGACAGGAAATGAACCAAGAGACCAAAGCAAACAGGCAAAACACTAAGAAACAAAACACTAAGCTGGCAAAACACTAAGAAACAAAACACTAAAGGTACTAAGACCAAAAACTATAACTATGATTGAGGTGGAAAATAAACAGGCTAAGACTATGACTATGACTGTAACTCTGGTGAGATAAACAGACGAACTGACAATGGCATGAAGAAAACAAAAGGCTTAAATACAGACATGAGGTGATCAGGGGAAGTGGCGACACATGGGGGAAAACAGCTGACAGACATAAACCTAATGACAGGACCAGGAGAGGAAAGCTAAATACAATGAACAAAGAACACATGACATTGTCAGAATAAAACAGGAAATGACAACACAACTTAACAGACCTAATACGTGATGAAATAAATAGAAAACCCCAAAACATAGAAAACCCAGGAACAATAACTGCCTAAACTAAAGGCAAATAGGAAATAACACAAACTAATAACATATCAAAAAATACAAAGAAAACTCAGAGTGCTGGGTCGGAGACCCAGCCTGTGACAGGTAGAGTGGAGACCAAAATAAAGTGAATTACAATAATCATGCTTTGTGACTTGATACTTGCATATTTGCAGAGTTGACTGACTTGGAAGCTTTTAATCATGTAAATGTCTGCATTTCTTCTATTCTTCTCTCCGTTCGTGAACAACAGACAGCTGTACCAGTAAAAAAAAACATATCAGGGAGGGCTTATCACGTGCTGACAGAAGCAGCCTCGGGCATTTACAGGTATGATAAAAACAGCAGAGTTTCTCTCCACCCACAGTCACTGCTGTCTAGCTTTTTGAGGTAAGGCAAGGTACTGTACTCGTACTGTAAACATTCTTAAGCAGCTTGGTTTACACTTTTTTTTTTTTACCTCTTTTTGTAACAGTTATGTGGTGTTGGTATTGTTACATTATTAACGCTGAAAAATACTTTACAGTCTTATGTAAAAGACTCTTGTGTAAAGGAGTACACCTACTTAGTGATGTCCTTTGGGCACGTCGAAGAAGAAAAACGAGTTTGTGTAATGAGAATTAAAGCTAATCTTTACACTTCTTAATGTTTGTTTTCAACAGCTTTCAAACCCTGCAGCTATGCCTCCTCCAGGTGTGTGCATGAACATCATCAGTGCACGCCACATGAAAAATGGCTACGGGACTGTCACCAACCCCGAGAGGTTCCTAAACCAAGACTTCCACCAGCTGAAACAGTACTGTCTCATCCAACATCTAAGGTACATCGATGAGATGTTTCCCCCTGACAGAAATTCAATCAGCAATGGGATACTGACGCCTTCTGACCTTGACCGAGTGGTGTGGCTGAGACCAGGGGTGAGTGTTGCATTGGCTGAAAACCCCAAATGCAAGTACATATAATCATGAAAGCTGTTTGAGGAGAGGGTGTGGTCTGTGGCTCTGCTGCAGAGGAGTGGTGGGGCATTGGGTTTGGTGGGCAGTGCCAGTGTAACTGATCACACCAATCGGTCCAGCTCTGCAGCTCCTCTGCAGTGGAGCCGAAGGCCATACCCCCACCACGCCGATGCTCTAACAATCTACAAATCTAGATAGTTAAGGCTCTTCATGAAGCATAGAAATCTGCTAATTCATTTGTACGTTGGGTTATTGGAACCTTTGTTTCATGGTGTGCCTGAATGCTTTACCAACCACAAACGAGGATGCACATTTTAGCTGCATGAAGTATTTCTTCAAGGGAAACAAAGACAAAACTGTATGAAACACCAACTGTTAATTTGTCAAATGATTGTTAATGTTTCTTTAACTTCTATAACTTTTGTTGCAGTAAGCCCAATAATAATAATGATGATAATAATAAAGAAATAATAACAATAATCCATAAAGATAAGAGTTTGTTTTGTTATTTCAGAAAATTGTTCCAAATCCATCGTTTGTTGCTGACGGGGTGTCCAGGTTCGACTTTGGTCAAGGTTGGGTTAGTAAGTATACTTATTCTTTCACTTCTTTGTGTCAATCTAACCATAATCAGCACAATTACTACTGCGATATCTGCACAGTAAATCATTCTGACAACTCAACTACATATTTTTACAGAAAACTGCTGGTTTATTGCCTCTATTGGAGCTCTGACATTTCAGAATCACATCCTTGGACAAGTTGTTCCACTTGAGCAAAACTTTCACGAGGATTACTGTGGACTGTTCCACTTCAGGGTATATACAGTACCATAATATCATTCATACCATTGAAAAGTCAGTGGTAAAATGTTGTCTGTACATTTTAAAGTTGTTTAAGGAATTACTTGAAATATTACGAGTCTTTTGTTTTGATATTCTGCCATTGCCAAAGATAAATATCTAAAAGCAGGTTGCATTAAACAATGCATAAAACCTTTTCGCTTTCTCTTCTCTCTCAACTGCTTAGTTCTGGAGATTTGGAAAATGGGTGGATGTCATCATTGATGACAAACTACCAACAATTGATGGCAGACTCATTTTTGTCCACTCCAGAGATCCAACTGAATTTTGGCCAGCTTTGCTGGAAAAAGCCTATGCAAAGTATGTAAAAACCCTGTGTTATTTCTCAGTTTACAGTGCTCTTTGTGGGAGTTATTTGTCAGTAAAAAATAACAATATATCCACTTTTTTTCAGGGTGTGTGGTTCCTACACAGATATGAATGCTGGAACTCCTGCCGAGGCATTGGTAGACTTCACTGGTGGGGTCCACATTTATATTGATCTGTCAAAGCCCCCTCCAGACCTGTGGGAAATGATGTGTCGAGCTGGTCAATCCAAGTCACTGATGGGTTGTGGGACACCACAGGGTGTAAGCATTGATTTACACCACATAAAGCAACATGCTGCCTTGTAATCTTTGTTTTGAAAACAGTCAGGGGTGTCTGTCTTACTGAAAGATCGGGTGATAAAAAAGAACCTTCAGAATAATAGCTCTTAGCTCAGAGTTATCTTCTCCCAGCAGAAAAATAAAAACACTGTGTTGGGATTGTTCCATTTTGAGAAAGTGGTTTGATAACTCCCCCATTCACAGCGGCTGGAAATCTACCTGTCACATTAAAGTAAACAGCACCGCCCTGTTTCCCTGAAGTTAAGCGCAATACCTAGAAAGCAGTACAGTTTAATAGAATGAAGAAAATCCCGTACATGTTAATGCAAGAGTGAACCACTCTCAGAGCCATAGTATGTTGTGAAAAGAAAACACTGGTAAATGTTTTTGACGATCATGTTTTTAGAGATATTTTTTATCAGAATTCAAATTAAAGTATAATCAGTGTTTTGCATGTATTATCTTTCTAAATACCTTAAATTACAGCAGAACAGTACCAATACTTTGTGGGTTGCATTTCTGTTTGTATGAAAGAATCTTCACCTTTTTCATCATGTAGTTTATTTTAATTAATTAATGACCCATAAGTGGCTCCACAGGATCTTGTTTGGCCCCTCAAACAGTAACTACACGGATAAGTCTTTTCAGACAGAGAGAGCTACTGATACATTAGACTCTGAAATACTTGTCCAGATGGTTTACTCTCATGATGAGTGAAAGCACTTAATCCAGCAGAAGCACGTCTCATATGATGTATGATAATCTTGCACCGTTTGAACCTTCACAAGAATTTAAGAAGCTGTTTGTTTTCCAAATAATGTTGATATATCCTACTGTATGAGCAAATACATGGGGCGACCGTGGCTCAGGGGGTTGGGAAGCGTATCTGTAACCGGAAGGTTGCCGGTTTGATCCCTGGGCTCTCTGTCCTGGTCGTTGTGTCCTTGGGCAAGACACTTTTTACCCTACCGCCTACTGGTGTTGGCCAGAGGGGGATGGCGCGATATGGCAGCCTTGCTTCTGTCAGTCTGAACAAGCTACAACCGTAGCTTGCCTCCACCAGTGTGTGAATGCGAGAGTGAATGAATAGTGGCATTGTAAAGCGCTTTGGGTGCCTTGAAAAGCGCTATATAAATCCAATCCATTATTATTAAATGAAATTTAATTTGCTGACACACGAGTAATGCTAACATAAGCAACAATATACTGGTTCTTTACTACTTTGAAAAGCCAAAGTTTGCTAATATGATTTTGTTTTCATTTAAAATTTGCCAATTAGCCAACTCAGCTCGTTCTTGGGTGTTCACTATTTATTACCTGCAAGACTCAAAAGCAAAATGATATTTTTCTTAAGTTGTGCTAATTTAAACTGAACTTGGAATGTTTACATGTGTTAATTCTTTGTAGGAGACAACTGAAAACATTGTACTACCAAATGGGCTGGTCCAAAGCCATGCTTACGCTGTCACAGGTGTTAAACAGGTAAGGTCTGGAATTTATTTAAAAGATAATACAACATGCAGCAAACTAAAATAGAGTGGTTGTTAACGTTCTATTAGCAAGAGTTGCGTTTTTAAGTTTCTAATGATGTTTACCTCAGCAAACAATTAATTTCATTCATTTTATGGTAATAAAGGTACCGAGCTTGCATTTACTGTAAAGCAGTGTATTTTTTTTATTAAAGAAACTACAAATGTGGTTTCCTTTGGTGTGCAGATGATTAGCCGAGGGCAGATGGTGAACCTGGTGCGTTTGTGGAATCCCTGGGGCCACGGAGAGTGGAATGGAGACTGGAGTGATCGGTTAGAGCATCTTGCACTCACCATTTCTCTGGTTTTGTACCTCAGGAGAAAAAATACTGAGATAATTTAGCAGTGGTGGAATAGCATTATATATATATATATTATGCTCACAGGGAAGTATCAAGAAGTCCTGTGTGTTTTGTTTTAGTAATTTCCTCAGTTATAAACTTAAGGGGCGATCGTGGCTCAAAGAGTTGGCAGTTCGTCTTGTAACTGGAAGGCTGCCGGTTCGAACCCCGGCTCGGATAGTCTCGGTCATTGTGTCCTTGGGCAAGACACTTCACCTACCTACTGGTGATGGCCAGAGGGGCCGATGGTGCGATATGGCAGCCTCGCTTCTGTCAGTCTGCCCCAGGGCAGCTGTGGCTACAACTGTAGTTTGCCTCCACCAGTGAGTGAATGAATAGTGGAATTGTAAAGCGCTTTGAGGGCCCTGTAAAGTGCTATATAAATGCATTATTATAAATACATTTTTAGGCATGCAAGGAAGGGCTGAGGATAGCTGAGGATATGTGGCTCAGAGCCATGAGAAGCTTTTGTGTTGGTTTCTTATCAGCGTAATCTCTTAATTATGAACTTCTTATGTAAGTGAAGAAAAAAACCCCACAGATGGCAAGTTTTGACAGGACTTGAAGGTTTTATTCTAGAGTTTCTTATTTTGAAATACTTGATGATTTTAGGTGTGGTTTGTGGTTTGGAGGCATTCTCTAATGGCTCTGTTTGAAACTATTGAAACAAGGTCTGTCTTGCACACGAGGCAGAAGAAAAAGTCTCCTGACAGCTCTGAAAGACTCTTTGTTGACTGCAAAGGTCACTAATTTCCCACACGTCATCCACATGAGTAGAGAGGAGTAGTTGTAGCTTGAATGAGCTTAAATTTGAAAAGTTTAGAATATGACAATATTGTATTCATATGCCTCCTCTTCCTTCTCTGAAAAATTTCCAAAAAGGTCACCTCTGTGGCAAACTGTGAGTCCTCAAGATCGAGATATGTGCCTAGCAGTCTATGATGACGGCGAGTTTTGGTAAGAAAAATCAAAATGTGACAAATGCAACACAGTAATTAGTTACACAATAATAAGTTCTTACCATAATTAAACAAAAGAAGAACAAAAAGATGCTTTCTAACCCTAAGTACTCAAATGTATTTGTGTTATACATCTCTATGCTCAAATGCTTAAAAGTTAAATTAGATTATATAGTTAGTTTCTTTGAACATAGTTTAATAGAATAATAGAATAATATAAATAATAGAATAGCTATTCGAGGGCAAAAGAGTCTATAGAGTTAGAATTTGACTTCCAGTGAAAGCTGCTAAACAAAAGCTGCTACGCTTTTGTGTAGATTCCATTAAATCAACAAATTGTTGCAGAATACATGCTTTTTATATTTCTGTTCATTTTTTGTTATCGTTCATTATCACGAAACTGCCAGAACTCATTATTACCTAAATTTATATCTGTTTTCAAGGATGAGTCTGAAAGACTTCTGTAAGACCTATTCAGAGCTCGACATCTGCTGCATGTGTCCTGACTTCCTGGATGGAAACTCTACCTGTCACTGGAAAACCTCCATTTATGAAGGTCGATGGGTTGCAGGAACCACTGCTGGAGGCTGCATGAAGAACCCTGGTATATTCAAAAGCTCTAATAAGTTAAAGCCTCATTAAATGCCTTAGTTATGGAAATAAATGATCTCTTTGCTACATCCATTTGCACAGCACCACATGCCTTTTAGCAATTCTAAACTAATTGCAACTATCATTTATTTCCTTTGCGCTATAATCAATCTTTGTAGACTACAGTGTGACCAAAATCCTGACCATACAATCTCACTGACTCTGAAAGGGTTCCTTCGAAGACGGGAACAGGTCTGTGACCACCAGCAGTCAGTTATCATCTTCAAAGTGACTTTGATGCTTCAAAATACCAATAAAACATATAAATATGATCAAATGGTAACCAGAGATAAGCACAGGAGTCTGGCAGTGATTGTAGTCAGAGGATAATTTTTTTTGGAGACAGGGTACTTCCTAACATATCATGTGGCCTATCCAATGACCTTGGAGGTGCCAAGGCCAAGGAAGTGCTATTTTTACTCTAGTGTGACTGAGCCATTAAATATAATTGCAATAATTTGGGAACTGTGAAGAGAAAGTGTCGTATTTCTGTGGAGTCAGTCTATCATCTTGTAGCTGCTTGTTAAGGTTTACTTAATAATAATAATAATAGATTAATGGAAAACTCCAAAATGATTTCCTTCTTTGCTTTTCAGAGAGCTTCTGGACAAATCCACAGTATCGGGTCAAGATTGATGAATTATCCAGTGAATGTGCTGGGAAACAGGGTGAAGTCAACATGCTGGTGTCTCTCATGCAAAAGCCAGATAAAAGGAATAGACACCTGGTCCAGAACCTCTACATTGGATTTTCTGTATTTGAGGTAAAGATTAGCCTTTATTGTTTCCATCACACTGGTTAGATTGGTGTACTCTGCACTGCATGTGTAGAAGTCATGTAGTAAACTAATGAAAAGTGGGAGTTTTGTGCCTCATTTACAAAAAACCCTTCAATTCCTAAATCATTAGTTTCCATTTAGCTTTTATAAAGACATAATTCACGTGATCTAATTTTTTTTTCTGTGATTTCCTCTAAGGTGCCTGAAAACGTGAGTATTTTCCCACAGCAAACATTTCATTTCACAATTTTCAAATAACAGGACCGAGACAGAGCGGAAGAGATTAAATATCTGTTTAAAACTGATATTACAGTACACGGCACACAGCGGGAAATTCCCAGCCTCTTTCTTCAGTGCGAGCAAACTTGTTGCCTACACTAAATCCTACATAAATGCCCGTGAGGTGATGGAGTTAATGATGCTGAAGCCTGGTGAATACGTGATTGTGCCATCCACCTTCAGTCCCAATGAGACAGCCTCCTTCATCCTGACCATCGTGTCCAAGGCAGAGACCCACGTGCAGTAAGATACTTGCAATCTTATACACTACACTGGCAAAAGTATTCACTCACCCGTCCAAATAATTTAATCCAGGTGTTCCAATCATTTTCATGGTTATAAAATCAAGTACTTAGGCATGCAGACTCCTTCTACAAACATTTGTGAAAGAATAGGTCATTCCCAGGAGCTCAGTGACTTCCAGCATGGCGATAGGATGACATCTGTGCAACAAGTCGAGTCGTGAAATTTCCTTGCGGGATTATCGTGTGCGGCCGTTTTTTAGGAGTTGGGCTCGGCTCATTAGTTGCAGTGAAAGGAACTCTTAATGCTTCAGCATAACAAAGCATTTTTGACATGCTTCCAACTTTGTGGGACCAGTTTGGACATAACCCCTTCCTGTGCCAATAAAACTGCATACCAGTGCACAAAGCAAGGTCCGTAAAGACGTGGATGAGTGAGTTTGGTGTGGAAGAACTTGAGTGGCCTGCACAGAGTCCCGACAGATCACCTTTGGGATGAATTAGAGCAAATACTGAAAAGTGTTTAAACACACATTATTAACACATTTAAATGTATATATATGTTTCTTCAGTTTCAGTTCTCTGATGTGAACTGAAACTAAAGAAGCTGGATGACTGTTGAAACGTCTTCAAGGAAACTTAAAGAAGTCCAGAAGCTTTTCTTTCCAAGCAAGTCTTTTGGCAAAATAGTGTAGTGACAAGTAATGTTCAAAGTTGGGGTAGTAAATGCTAAAAAATAAACATAATCTCAAACAAAGGTATTACTTTTGACAGAAAGGGTGGGGCAGAGGAGGCGCGGGCAACATGACAAGCAATGGTGCCCATCCATATCATACAACCTGTTTTGACTGTGTCTAGTTGTAAAAGTTCTACTATATGTTTATACTGCACTGATTTAAGCAGGTGCCTTTTTTGGAAGGTTTTGATGATGCTCTCAATCATCTGTGGAATTGCCTGGGGAACTTTTGACATCAACTATGCGTCTAAGTGTCGTAAAGAGTATTATTGGCACTATAAAAGATGTTTAGCAAGCAAGTAAAGAAGTGGCATTTTGGAGAGAGAAGAGCAGAAGGATTTTACCAAAAGACTGAGTTTGAGCAGTGCTGTCACTGATTATACGAGTGCAAAGTCTGATAGATGGAGTTCTTATGGCGGAGCTGTTTTGAAAGATTTAAAATCCATCCATTCGCTACCACTTATCCTTTTCAGGGTCGTGGGGGGTGCTGGAGCCAATCCCAGCTGTCATAGGGCAAGAGGCAGGGTACACCCTGGACAGGTCGCCAGTCTGTCGCAGGGCTAACACACAGGGACAGACAACCATTCGCACTCACATTCACACCTATGGGCAATTTAGATTAACCAATTAACCTATCCCCAATAAGTGCATGTCTTTGGTGGGAGGAAGCCAGAGTACCCGGAGAGAACCCACGCAAACACGGGGAGAACATACAAACTCCACACAGAAAGCCCCCGGCCTGATGGTGGAATTGAACTCAGGACCTTCTTGCTGTGCGGCAACAGTGCTAACCACCGTGCCACCATGCTGCGAGATTTAAAATCATTAATTGTTATTTGTTAAAAGTTTGCATTCTTACTATGTGGGTGTGCAAAGCTGGGCAAGTGGGAAGGAATTTTGAATGGGGAATTCTATAAATGTGTGTCATTGGTACACTGACCTGTCAGTCTGTGTGGACCTGTAGTGCTGTGGTGCTCAGGTATCACATGGCTGTATCGTCCTCAGGGTCTATCACAAAGTTGTTGCTCCTGTGATCTCCCGAATGACAATCCTGCACACTACTTTTACTTGCTGGTGAAAAAAAGTTGTACTCATTCCTTTTATCTGTCCTGTGTCCTCAGTGAGAACTCCAGTGGTCATGAATATATGGAATTGGAAGAGGTGAATAAGATGGATCATGTTACATCATCCAGTAGAAATATATACTGTCAAATAATAGTGAAAATAACCCCTTGGTATTTGGTAGAGTTAATTCTGAACAACTGACCCCATACTGACCCCATACTCAGTCAGTTTTTAACCTTGGTTGTTGTTGTTTTTTTTGTTAACATTGATTGAATGACACAGTCTAATCATTAATATAGAGATAAAAACATGCTTAGAGCACCGCTCTTTTGCAGAACACACCAGTGGGAAAGAGTGAGGATGACGAACGTAAAAGGACACTGTTCCGTCAGCATTCTGACAAGGTAAAGGATTGTGTCTTGTAACAATAGTTCCTTTTTTGGGGGGGGGACACATGTCTATTTGCTTTTTTTTTAATGAGTTAGATAATAAGAAACGCTTAAAAGTAACCCAACCATCACATTAAGCTTTGATTACTTTCCAGTATGAAGAAGTGGATGCAGAGCAGCTCAAGAGGCTCCTAAATGGAAAAATACTAAAAGGTTTGCACAGTAAAAGTGAAAGGCTACACAGTTAAAATAATAATCCCATGTAGATGGTGCCGAGTGTCCTAGTATGATTTACTTTTTTCTTTTTTAGGAGACTTGAAATCTGGAGGATTCACAATCGATGCCTGTCGCAGCATGGTAGCTCTGATGGATGTATCCTCGAGTGTCATATTGACTTGGGTGCATTTATATTGGCTTCATTTCAGCTGCTTACTGGAGCAAACCCTTACAATAACTGCACTTACATAAAACATATTAACAGTGTACAAGTCAAAACCTGCCTGCCCTTTTACTCAATAATGCAAAAATGCACAGTTCTGATAGCTTAATGGTACCTTAAAAAGACATCTGTGACTGGAAAGCTGAATGATGAGGAATTTGTTCGTCTGTGGAAGAAGGCTGTCACATACCAGGTAAGATAAACATAGTAAATGTCAAAGATGTCATCACAACACAAAGGCAGGGTTACCTGACAGGTAATCAGAGGTGAAAGCAGGATTTAGTTTGAACACAAACTGTCACATTTGCATATAAGAACTCACTGAACAAAGGGAGCGACCTGGGAAACATATGATTTCAGATTTGGTGATGACATCAGGAAGGCTGTAGCACACAAGAAATAATGTTCATCCAGTTGCACATTGAGGTTTATTGCTCTGAAACACAGCAAAACAGCAACTCTGTGTTACTGACGGCTTCCATTACAATAACTGGCCTGCGTTACTTTTGTAAGGTATTATGTGTAATGGCCCTTTAGTAATCAGCCCTTAGTAAACAGAGCAAATGACAGACCAGTGAACAATACACAGCATAAGATGTACTGGCTGGTTTATCAAAACATTTCTTATAACTTTTACTGAAACCAGCTAATTGTTTTCTATCATATTTCTGATGGAACAACACGGTTAAACAGTTTAACCCAGGAGACTAACATCACTTAGCGCAGCGGTCCCCAACCCCCGGGCCTCGGACCGGTACCGGGCCGCGAGAGTTGAGGCTCAGGTGTGAAATGTATAGTTTTCAGGGTTTTTATCGGTTTTCAGCGTTATTTTGTTATCGTTTTTATCGTTTACTCAGTTTTCAGGGTTTTTATCGGTTTTCAGCGTTATTTTGTTATCGTTTTTATCGTTTACTCGGTTTTCCTGGGTCTTTTCACGTGTGTTATGAAAAAATTTTCGGTAAAATTTTTCCGGTACCGGTACTAGTTTTATTTTGTTGTATTTATCCGCGACACCTTAAAGGCCGGTCCATGAAAATATTGCCGGGCATAAACCGGTCCGTGGTGCAAAAAAGGTTGGGGACCGCTGACTTAGCGCACAAAGGTTACTAGCGTTAGCCACGGATAACGTGAATCAACTCTCTTCTTTGGTCACATCAAACGCCTTATAAACAAGAATTACACTCCAAACATGTTACTTTAAATAACTATCAACTTTACATAAATGTATAGAGTTCTCGTATACTGCTCTCACCTGAAACACAGCAAAACAGCAGTTCTGTGTCACTGACAGCTTCCATTACAATAACTGGCCCGCGTTACTTTTGTAAGGGATTATTTTGCCAGTCTCTCATTTGTCTGAGACGCCACTGCCACCTACTGGCGAAACTAAATATCGCCTTAAAACCAAATCAGGTGGGAGCACACGTTAAAAAACTTCAACAAGAATTCTGAGGCTTGTTTTTGATCCTTAAAATACTCAGGATGCCACAATTATCAGGATGTTGACTTTATCTCACCCACACCACCAGACTACTCCTTTTGTAGACTAATCCATTGTGTATATTAGGATTGTCTCAATGTCAGAGTTCATTCAACAGTTGATCATGCTACAAAGAGAAATCACTTTAAGTCCATAACGACGGATGTTCTAATGCATTTACGTGTAGTTATTACACAATTATCTATGAAGTCTTTTAACATGTCAACCATTGATTTTCAAATATCAAATACAGCCCTACACACACATACACACACACACACACACAATGTGAAAATGTGACATAAAAAATAATTAAACAAAGATTATCTTACATTTTCAAGCAAGACTTTATATACAGTCTTCGAGCAAAAGTAACAAAACTTCACAAACTGAAGTGGATTTGTTTCATTTTTAAGCTTGTCTGTAATCTCTCCCTCACTGTTCTGTTTCTCCGTTATTTTATTGGTGGTCAAGCTGACTGCTCATGGAAGGAAAAACTAAAACCAGGAAATGTCCCAGTGCTGCTGAGGGGCAGAAGGTCACTGGTTCTAACCCATGCAAACGTTTTATTATAAATATTCTAACATTATAATCGCTAATTATGTGCTTTTCACACAGGAAATTTTCTCCCGCTGTGATGTTTCGAAAACAGGGACGCTGTCACTAAGCGAGCTGAGAAATGCTATGATAGCCTCAGGTAGACATTTAATTTTAAAACCCATTTTAAGATACTGTTGGAACACAAAACTATCCTGTGATTATTGAGTCTTTCACATTTTCTATGTAAAACAATGGTATAGTTAACATTTTTAGAAAAACAAAATGAACATGAAAACAATGGTCCCTCTAACAATCATTTATTTAAATCTCTCCCTTCATGCAGCTCTGTATCAGGTTTTAGCTCAGTGTTTAGCTGTCTGCTTATTTTTGGTCACTTTCTGTAGTGGTGGCTCTCACACTATGTGGCACCCAGAAGCTGGTAAAGACCAAAAACCAAGCTTAAAGAGTCTAAATAAGTGGGCTATATGACTGGTTACCAATGAATTAAATTGTCATATTAAAGTTTTTTATTTGCAACATGTCTCTGCTTCTTCTATGTGGCCAAAATGATTATTCCTCAGGTTAGTAAAATACCAAAGTAAGGCATTAAAGCAGAGAAAAGATCAGGATCCAGCTTAAATTCTACAATGAAGACAGTAATGGCAATCATACATTCAGTATTAATATGTTCTGAAGGTTATGTAAATAGTATTTTTGTAAAGTATTAGCACTTGCTTTGATATTCTACACAAACCACCTGTCTAGCAGCGTGTCTGTTTGTATCTGGTAGCAACCAGCCCTAATACACACTCCACTGACTTCATCTTATGAACTGTATGTTGGTCAGGAAAGAAGATCAGCGATGAGATGCTGAATTTGATGGCTCTCCGTTACGGCACCTCGTCTGGGCACATTACTCTGGAGAGCTTCATCAGTCTAGTACTCCGCTTTGAATGCATGTATCGTAAGTAAAACTGAAGAAAATTACAGTAGACATATTTTATATTCTTCAAAGGTTAAAAGTTGTCAACTGTGGAACTTGAATTAGATTTGAATATCTGCAATATCTGTCTTTTCTCTTTATTTTCTTTACAATTAGAAATTACTCAGAAATACTCATTACATCACTGACGGGACACCAAAAGGATGAAGTCAGAACAAGTTGTGAAACTTCTACTTTTTCTTAACTATAAGGATTTATGTCTTTCTCCACAGAAATCTTCAACCAGTTGTCTGATGGCAAGGCTATGACTCTTCAGGAAACAGAGGTGACTACACTTCATTTTAAAATAGTTAACGAATCATGTCATGCATGCGCGAGATTTTAAGGTATGAAACATTAATAATCTATGATTTTTTATTGCAGTGGATGTACATTGCAATGTACACTTAACCTGACAGAGGAGATGACCTGCAGGAATGAGAACAAAGAAGAAATAAACAAAAAAGAGTTTTTCAGCATGAAAAAAAAATCATGATATGCAACCACTGGGTGAAGGTTTACAGTATATGAACAGGGCAGCAGAGTTAGACTACAAATCTGTGAGGAGTAGAAACTTTACAGTACAACAGATAGAACCGTGAGTGTGCAGCATCTGTGATTATTTTACACTGAAATCATTTTTTACAAAAACTAATTCAAAGTTCAAAGGTGGTGGTGCTTTAGAAGCACAAAGTTTGTGTCAAATCTTTATAGCCCATGTACTCCACCTTTGCTAAATGTTTCTGTTACTGAAGTTCTTTTTAAGTGGGTTGCTGCATTTTCTTTTCCACTGCTATGATACCGTAAGAGGGTTTTTTTTGATTGTCTCCCAACCTAGAGTCACATTGAAATATGCAAAAAGCTTTTGGATGATGTGAGATTAAATCTGATGTCTCGGGAAAAAATGTATTCACTGTTGTGATTGGATAACCTTTCATCTAGTGCCATCAATTGGTTGAAACTTTACTTTGTTATTTAGCTGAGACCATGTGTGCCTGTACGTGCAGCCTTATGGTGCCAGGATATCTGATATGTCTGTAAAAAGTGTTTCTGATAGAGCATTTTAAGTGGGTTACTGAATTTTTAGCTTGGAATGGACTTTTTTTTTTTATATTATTATCAGCTTCTACACAAAGAAATGATTCAAGCAGCTACGACAAGCATCAGAATTTCACGTACAAACCCCCTTTTTAGATGAAAAAAATAAATGAATGAAAAGCATGACATAAAAACTGAGCCTCACTGAACAGAGAATTCACAAATCAATTCTTTGGCCGCCATTTAAAAAACACTCAGATAAAATGCTCTGAACCCTAAACCTTTCATTCTTAAGCTTGAGTTTAAAGTTTTGAATTTACAACAGAGCGAGAAACTATTCAAAAATATGATGCCTGATCGTTCTGATTGTTCAACAGGCAGAGACATAGGCGTCAGATATTTATTTCCATGTTTTTATTGATTTTATCAATAGCAATACAGTTGAAATAATGACAGAACAGAAAATTTCTTGGTTCAAATTATAATGTAATTTAGTTTTAAGAAAGATTTGCCAATGATTATTAGAATTTATTAGAAGTTCTTCATTTTAAAATTCCAGAGTACTATTAAAATATATTAAAAAATAAAGATTACATCATAGTTTTGATTACATATCAGTTAAATTATTTGACATATGGATGAAGCAGAAATTAAACATTTGAACGGTAATTTGAATTAAATTAAACAAATAAATAAAATATTCACCCTCAAGCTACATTTAAAAAAAATCACTGATTCATGATTATTGATTATTATAAGAATGTGAAAGCTAGGTATGTTTTTAGGCTGGTTGTAGTAGCATTTGTAGTACAGCTGTTAGCAGAGCACCCAGCATCATAGTTGTCTGGGATTTTCCAAGCTTCACTTCCCCATTGGTTAGAGAGGCAGTGGTGGTGCTGTTGGAGCCTGGTGCAGTGGTGGTGCTGTTGGAGCCTGGTGCAATGGTGGTGCTGTTGGACCCTGGTGCAATGGTGGTGCTGTTGGAGCCTGGTGCAGTGGTGGTGCTGTTGGAGCCTGGTGCAATGGTGGTGCTGTTGGAGCCTGGTGCAGTGGTGGTGCTGTTGGAGCCTGGTGCAATGGTGGTGCTGTTTGGACCCTGGTGCAGTGGTGGTGCTGTTGGAGCCTGGTGCAATGGTGGTGCTGTTGGAGCCTGGTGCAGTGGTGGTGCTGTTGGAGCCTGGTGCAATGGTGGTGCTGTTGGAGCCTGGTGCAGTGGTGGTGCTGTTGGAGCCTGGTGCAGTGGTGGTGCTGTTGGAGCCTGGTGCAGTGGTGGTGCTGTTGGAGCCTGGAGTTGGGCTGATTCTGTTGCTGATCAGACCCAGATTCAGTGTGTCCAGCTCTGACTGCAGCTGCAGGTTGATCCAGGTCTGAACTACAGTATCATTCTCAAACAGCTTCAGATCAGGTAGGTGCATACCCACGAGGCCTTTAACGTTGCTCACAGTCAAATTCTGTGAATTTTAAATAAATAACAGAAAACAAAATTAGTCTGAAGCTGTTAACACACAAGACAAAGAAGCCAAATATAAATGCCTTCTTTTTAAATATTATCATATTATGTTAAATAAAGAGCATGAGAAATTTGAAAGACTACATATGGTGGTTTATGTTGCCAAAGCACCTAAATCAGGAACTTGGTTGACATTTACATATATCAGCAGCAGTTTAGCTATTTCTTATAAGAACTATTTAAAAAGAAAATCATAGTTTTCAAGGCACAACTCAGACATATAATAAAGTCACAATAAAAATTAGATGTAGGCGGATGTCCAAAAAGTTTTCGTTTCATTTCTTTAACAACTATTCTTACAGCTATAACAGCAGGGTCCAGACTGCTGAAAGTGCTTATGTCCATGCTGATGTTTTGTGTTGACAGTGTTACTATATCCTGCAGAGGTGCTCCACCTATCAAGAAAGGAAATGAAACAGGAAATTAGAAAGCAGTTTTATGAGAAATAGAGAAACAGCTACGCAAACAGACAAAATGTATTCTCACCTAGATAGGGCTTAATCAACTGGTAAATGATACTGGAGCTGGACCGTTGTGAGCTGAAGGAAGTGGTACTGATGCCATACAGGACTTGCTTCTGCTCAGCTGAACATGATGACACATTCAGAGGGCTGGCATTTCTGTCAAGGGGAAAGAAGAAAGAGACATACAGTGTTACGTGTGCATGACCACTCACATTTGGCAATGTTTTTATATCGTTGAGCTGCAATCTGACACCAACCTGATGCTGTCTGGGCTGATGGTCTGCAGTGTACTGGTGTTTAGTGAGCACAAGTTGGAGTCAATAATGGTCAGCTCAGTGCTGCCCAGCGAGTTTCCAGAAGTGCTCAGATACTGAGTGATGATTTTGTTGCTCTAAGCGACATTAAAGAAAAGGTATCATGTAAGAATAATAAGACTATTAAGGATAAAAGTGAAATGAATTCCACCTCTTATACCTTTGCTGCCTCCCAGGGTCCATCTTCAGCTTTCATTAGAGCTGCAAGGGTGTCAATTTTGGTTATGTTCCACTTGGATATATCGTCAAGTGATGCCACACGAGACACTGATCCAAGCAACTGGACATCCTGATCAGGAATCCCTGACGGGAATGCCTGCAACAATAGAGAATGTGTAATGCTATGTGCTAATGTGCTAAATCCCAAATTTGAAACAATATCTCATTTGCAAATTCTGCCATTTAATAATAAGTCCGTCTAACATAATGAATGACATTTTGGCTCTTTTTCAAAATTCCCACACAAAATACCTCATTGAGTTTCTTTAGGATGACAGTCTGGAAACCATTATCATCCACTTTGTTGCAGATGGAGTTGAGGTTTTCTTTCAGAACGGGAACATCCAGGCAGAGGTCAAACTGCGTGAGATCATAGCCAAAGGGGAAGGCGGAGTCGCTAACTATCACCTGGGTGATGTTGCCCGTGGTACAACCTTAAGAACAATTAGAGATGCAGATGAGAGTGCTGTGCAAGCTACGGTTGCCTTTATATATAAAAGCAAATATAATAATTAAGTCATATAACATTTGAGCATAAAATATGGGTTATTGTGCAAGTCTGTCTAACTTTAAAACCTGACTTCTCTAAGTTCACTGAATCTTTTGCTATCTGTACTCGTACCACTAAAGCAAAGTATTTACATTGTCTATTTATTTAAGTTATACAGTTATACAATTATTAATCTCCCGCTGACTAATTGTTTTTGCTTCAGTTTGAATAGCTGGTGTGAAAACAAATAAGAGCAAGGTCGCACCTGCTCCTCGTTTTGTTGTCCGGCCGCTGATCGCTTGGAACAGCGTCTTGAGCTTGCTTTTCTCTGTGTTTGCTTTCCTCAGTTTGGGCATGAAGGTCTTCAGGAACATTTTCTTTGTTGTCTGTAAAAAACACAAAGGTACCCAAACTGATTTCTAACACAAGTTATTTGAATGAATATTGTTAGACTAGATACTATCAAGCAACGAGAAAAAACATACAGAATCGAACCGGTTCCAGATATTTCTTGTGAAGTAGAGTGGAAGGGGTACGAGGTTCTCCAGTGTTTGCTTGTTCCAGGAAGCGGCATTTCTGAAAATAGAAGAGGATATTTTCTTACAGTGCTAACTTGAAAGAGGTAGTATGGGCTACAAAATTTGGTGGCATGGCTACTAGGTATTATATATACAAAGTCCTCAAAATGAAACTGGCAAGTTTGTGCCAATGAATCAAGGTTTATGACTTCATTTAAAAAAATAAGGTAGGAGTTAAACTTGTATGGTGCAGCTAACTGATAGCTCTACAAAAAATATAACTGAGTTACAGAGTTGTGCTTTTGGTGCAAATTAATCTCTGCATGATAAAATTATTGAAGTTTGCTTATGAATTTCCTTTGAGAGCTGTTTGGTTTCTAATTGTTGTCTGCTCAGAGTTCCTTAGCCCAATTTCAAAAGGCCGATGACTTAGCTTAAACTAGCTTAAAGCACAAAACTCCCCACATCTGTAATCAAACGCTTCTGCAGTCTACACCAGCTCTCTATACCGGAAGCCACAAAATGTAACTGTTTTCCTTAGAGGCTAAATCAGAGGATTATGTAATGGATTATATAGTTTAATCTGACTCAAGATACAAGATTAAACTGCAAATCTGTTATATAACTTATCTAACTCCTCTAAGCCTGGAAACTTTATGAAACATTGTTCCCCAGAGTGGTTGAAGGTATAATATCGGCATGGCCAAAACTGTGATTGGCTCATGGCTTCCCCTCAGATGTTCAGATATTCTCCTTTTCAGTAACAAATCAATCACACTGCAAATACGAACACAATTGTCACCATGTTTGATATGTTTGATGTGTGCATGATGCACAACAGCATTAACAACACTACTAGTTGTGTTTTTTAAACTCCTGACAGAATGACTTGTTTTTATCATTGTACCCATATTGTGTTGTTCCAGACAGCAGCAATGTCTCCATGGCTGCCACCTGGCTGGCAGAGAAGTCATTGCAGGCTTTAAGTTTCTCCAGGATGAGAGGATCTGCGTTCTGTATGTAAGACCCATCCAGAGTGCAAGCCATGTTCCCCAAGATCTCTATATTCTCTCTGCTCAGGCTCAAGCCATTTATACCCTGAAAACAGAAAACAGGAAAATGCTGTATTTAAAAAACTGTGCACGCATGCAACCTTATCAGTGTCAGAGTGTAATTCATGCATTTATTACCTTTAGACATATACATGTAAAAAAAACCATCACTCACCAAGCACACAGTGGCTTCACGGAACAGCTGCGAGCCCTTATTCAAGATTTTGGAGGCCACAGAGAAGTCTGCCGCACCCAGTGCAGAAAAGTATGACCTGCAGTTGCCTTTGTTAACATTTTTGCTGCTGTTTTTAGAAAAAAAAGAAAGGTAAAATCAGTAATTATTCTTCACATTAGTGATGCATTTTAAGGTGAGTGCAAGAAAATGCTTGGAGACACCGAATCACCTTAAGTAGAGAAGCATGTCTGATGGATAATCTGTAAAGTTTTGTGAGATTTCTCCACTCAGCAAGTTGAGCATGCAGGTTAGCTGTAGAAAACAGTGTGGGAAAAAAGAGGATTCCTCAGTGATATGCAAGTAAGCTGTTTCTAACACTGAAACTGATGATTCGTGCATTATCCTAACTTTCAAAAGAAAAAGAAATCCTCAACCTGATGATTTATGTTTCTGGTATATTATATCCATATAACATACACATCTTAATTGTTAACTTCATTTTAAGAGTCATAGTAATATTATTAAATTCCTTTCTAACAGATGTTACCTGGGATTCCTTTAACTGCACTTTGGCTCGGCCTGACCGGGGCCTACAGGCCCTGATTAGCTCCTTGGTCCTGAATTGTATCATTTTCTGGGCAGAAGTGCAAGTGAAGCCTTGCAGCACTGAGGGAGAAAGCCTGCGGGGAGGATTGATGAACACCAGGAAGAAATGATAAATAATCCCCTCTTCAAAATAAACCTACAGGGCCAAATAGTTATATGACTTGTTCACTTACTGCTCAATGTCAAAGTTTGTGTTGTCAAGGACCCCAAAAAAGATGGCAGCCTAAAAGAACAAAAAAAGAACAAAAGTTTCGTATTATTATCTGTAACATCGACTTTAAAAAGTCATTTTTGATTAATAATGCTATTGTGTGTATTTAACAAAATGTTAACCTGATCTGGTGTCCAGGTTTTTCTATTGAGCACGGTGATGTCTGCAGATTGGTCAGAAAACACCAACAGGGATGGTGGGATCTCAACTGCCATAGCATCTGGCACATTCAGCACCACTTGTGATGGATTTGTGTCCAGAGAAATGATCTACCAGGTAGGTAAATGCATTTAGGATTAAATGTAATGAGTGGAGTAATAATATCATGGAATACAGAGTTAATATTGATATCAAAGTAATTCTAATATTTAAATATCATAATGCCAAAGATAAATAAGTTGATGTCCTCCAGATCATAGCATTTACTTTATATTGTCTTGTGGAAGCTAACGTTGTACCTTTTTGACGAAGGTCATTTGGACAACACTTGGGGCTGCCAGCATGTTGGAAACGAAGGTGGTGCTCTTTGAGACGCTGAGTAGCACAGAAGCGCTGGTGTTTTCTATTGCTTCTGAAGGAAGTCCAATAACAAGCGTGCCAAGGGATGCCAGGGAAGATTCGCTGTTGATCTGTTAACACATTTCAAGTTTTTGAAGCCTCATTCTCTAAAGTGGTAAGCATCTTAGAGTTATTTTGTATTTTATAAAACCTTACTGGATTAATATATAACATCGTTAGGCACATGCATTTAAGATCTAACATGGATATCAGGTATATTAAGTGGACCTGAAGGGCGTTACCTGGAAGCCTGAGGCAGTAAGGGTTTGGATGATTATTGAGGCCTGATCCTGGCTCCAGGTACTGATTGAGCCCAGGGTGGACAAAGAAGAGATGAGCACTGATGAGGGAACTGAACTGATCTGGCTGTTACTCAGCCCTGCGCTGGAGCTTCCAAGAGCTGTAAATATCTGTGGTGTAATTGTCTTGATGTTGGATGCCAAAGCAGCAGAAACCTTTCAAATAAAATATCAAAACATGTGTAAACAGGAGTAACTGCAAAGAGAATTATGTCTGATAACATAGTTATTAAGTACCAGAGTTATATTATTAATAAGGGACTAATTTTAACAGAGTTAAAATTAAGATGGCCTTTGCGAGAGAGCATACTGTTCAGAGTTCAGGTTTTTTTGTTAACATTTAGCTCAAAACCAGCATTTACAACAATGAGATTTATGGTTGGTTTTTGCTAGAAACAATTCAACTCTGTTTGTTTTTAGGGCTGGTACCTCAGGGTCCTGGGTGCCATTGCAGAAAGTCTTCAGATTGTCTAAGATAACCATGGTTTCAGCTTCAGTCATAGTAGTATATGCCAAAGGTGGCACCGCAGAAGAGCACAGGAAAAAGCCTGGGAGACTGAATGAAAACAGATTTTTAACTACAAATACAGAATGACTACCACTGAACTGCTAAATTATATGCGGTGTATGGTTCACATAACACAGTTTGCTGTTTTTATCAGGCTGGTAATACTTACTTGACCGGCTTGAAGTTCGGATCGAATGCAAAAAGCTGTGTGACATAGTAGTTGGTTACATTTGCTGGGATTGCGTTATTGTTGAAGAGTTCCAGGTTGGCTTGGTTCTTCAAGAACACTTGAAACTTTAAAAATTAAGAAACAAAACAGGTCGATAATACTGATTTCTGTTAACCATGTTAACATTCCCACCAAAATCACGGACTTTGTATTTTGCTTTATTAACTGTGCATATGTGATCTCTGGAAATACCTGAGCGGTGGAGACAAAGGTGGTGAGGTCATCCAGAGTGATAAATGTCACAAAGTTCCCGATGTTACTGACAAACCAGGCAGTAGAGTTCAGTTCTGCATCACTGGCATTGTAGCATCTGGCTCCAGAACCTGTGGAACCAAGAAAAGCAGAACACACAGACAATAAATAACTTGTTAAGCGATCTCCCCTTATACGAATCGACATCAGTTTTGGCATTACGTGGCTCAAAATTTAAGACCACCTACTCTTTTCACTCAGCAAGCACACTGACTTCAGATGAGCCAGAAAAGACAAACAGATGCGTGTTATGTGCACTTTATATTTGGTAAGGTCCACGCATGTTACACCACCTGTTTCGTCCCAGTAAGTTAGCACATACATGTTTCTTCTCTGTCTGGCAGTTGCTATTATCCTTTGGGGCTGTGTGGAACATGTATGCCTACACATATCCGCTAATGCAATAAGTATGTAAGGAAGGAAGGTGTTTAATATGGTATATAGATCAAAATGTTGAAGCAGATTCAAACCAGGAGGAAACATGACTGCAGTAATCATTCCACATAAACTGTAAACCCCCTCTTAGAAGTAGATTCTGATCTTTTTCCACAAATGTAAATTGTTGCAGCTAGGTGCATTTTACAAACTCTTTGTGAATAGTCGGGCAGTATATTTTTAAAATAATTTTTACCCATTTCATATAATTTGAAAAAAAAAAAAAGACAAGCAGACATAGTTTTTAAATTCCTTGAATTCCACACACAGATGTATACATACACAGTGCTTTTACAACACTTTTGATCATTAATAAATCTTACCAGCACTCAAGTAGGTCTTGATGGTGGTATAAACGTACTGCTGTTCAAACTCAGAGCTGTTGTATGCGAAGTTATTTCCCATCACATAGACCCTGTTGAAAGGAAAATGATGAAAAACGTGGTCATCATGTAATTAATTCACTTATCTTGAGACACAATGAAAAAGAGACTTACAGTTTCTGGAAGGCAAAACATGAGGCGTTCTGCACTTCGTCGGGGCTGATGAGGCTCTTGCTGAGGAATCTAAGATAGTTCCTCAGTCGTAGGTCAAACCATAAATTAGCCTCAGCTCTGCTCCTGCTATTCAGCGCAGAAGGCCAAATACAGGGGAGGATCACCTTCTTTACATTGTCTTGAACATCCTCCTAGGGTATAACACATACGTTTTCACATGTAATGACAAACTGAAGTATAACTGTCAATTTAAGTGACAAGCAGTATTCTTGCTTGAATACTGCTAAGGTCAGTATACATTTTCTGTGAAGCCAATAATGTTGTATGTAAAACGTAGACAGTATTTAAGGGACATACAGTCTCAAGGAAGGCAGAAGTGTTGTTGTAGTTGTTGAAGATGACACAGATGTCAGTACTGTTACCAATCACATTGGGCTGACTAAGGAACTGGCCAAGCTCTGAGGTGCTGATGGTATCCAGAAGCTGGAGAAAGATTAAAAAACAAAACAGAATACATAACTTAATATATTATATTAGTGCACAGGTGTGTGCTATTTTATTTCCTTATTTATCTATTTTTTACCTCTGATTTGCGCATTGGTGGCAGAAGTGACACTAACGTGGACAAATCTGGAAAACCAAAGCTGAGGAAAGTGTTCCTCAGATAGACATAGAAGCTTCCACCACCGTAACACTTGAGTGGTGGTGGACCTGTTTTTAACACAAAGGAAATCACTTTTTAAACTAACATTGATTTGGTTACACATGTCACATCTGAAGAACAAACAAGTGAAAACAAAACAGTAACTTATGTCACAGATGTTTTTCATTATTAGCTTTTGAGTTAACAAACCTTGAAGGAAGACAATGATGTTTTTGTAGATCTCGCTTTGGGTGCTGCTGCTGAGTGTTGTGGTCAATGTGTCCAGCAATGCAAACCTAAATTCAGACAAATTGGAAAAAAACAATTATAGAAATATCGATCAAACGCCACTTCATTTGATCCAGAATCCTCCACATAACATTTACCCCAAGGTGTTTTTGATCACAGCAAATATACAGCAATTTCTAAAACTGAGTGTACAAATTCTTACATCTCTTGGCTGCTGTTACAACTCCTTTTTATCCCGATGCTGAATAAGGGTGTCACCAGGCTGGAAGAGAGGTTGGTCAGGAGAGGACTCAGGCGAACTCTGAGCCATAGCAGGAAGTCTCCATCACTGACAGTTGGAGATGACAGATTCCCTCTGTTGAAAACTGCTTCAAGGAATGCAGACTTCACTTCCTGTGAGTAGTTAGCTGAGTGGACCTGGGGTGAAATTACATAGCATGAGTAAAATGCTTACAAGAAAGTAAAAAGTATTTGAATTTGAACCATAATCCAGCTGTTAGTTTTGAAACACAGCTGAATTTTAATAACCTGTTTTTCCCCATTGTGTTATCCAGAATTACTTTTTTAACTTTCAACGTCTGGCTTAGAACTGTTTACAAGTCAAAAGCTTAAACTGCAGCTTACAACCAAAAGATGGTGTGGAAACGCTGCACAGAAGAAATGGCATCAGTTTTTTTTTTTAACTAAAACAACCTGTTTTGATATCTGAACAGCACTGTCTGACAGAAATGATCATAACCTTTTAACACAGAGTTGTGATATATACATTTCAAAGATTATATGTCAGGACCACAGAAACAAACAACCTTCTCCTTAACTTCCTTGATGGTCGTGCCAAGCCTGTCTTTCTGAGAGTGGTTTCACAACAGTTAATCACATATTCACAATTAATTCCTAAACCAAAGCAAGTATGTGTGTTGCCTAAACTACAAATATAAACTAAAGATACAAAGGCACACTGATGCCTACACTAACCATAAAGCAGCAGACGGAAATAACTACTTACTCTAACAATTGTGAACAAATGTAAAGCCTAGCTGCCCAAACCTAAGCCCCGCCCCCCAAAAAACAAACCAACCAAAAACACTTCCCTGAGGCTGCAATGAATGGATGAATGAATGAATGGATGACAAAACAAATAAATAAATAAATAAAACGTTGCCTTAACCTATCTAAACCCAGATTGAAAGTCAAAACTAGCTATCTAAACGAACTGCCAAGAAAGGTAAGAATTAGAGATGGCTGAGAGGTCAAATGTACTGCAACTTAAGAGAGCAATAACAAATAGACACAAGCCACAAAAGCACAAAAAAGACAATAAAAGAAAATTAAAACACAAAATACGTTAAAGCACAAGAGAAATTTCTCAAAAACAACAGAAGTGTTTTGGGGGAGACTTTAAGGTGACGGAACAACTGCGGAAGTGAAAGAAAACAAAACAAAAAACTGGGAACTAAAAAGAAGAGGAGGATTCTTCACTATTGCGAGGGAGAAAAACATGTAAGGAAATCTGTGTTTTGATCGCATGAGTCATATACTACTGCAGATTAGTAATGCGCGAATCAAGAACGAATCGTTCTATACTCGAGAATCACTTTACTGACTCGTGAATCATGATTCACAAGCCCAACTGACTCACTGACTCATCCCTGTTGCTGTTAGCAAACTAATTTCATTAGTAGAAATATATCTAGCTTTTAATTAAAATTGTGTGGAAAAAAACAACAGCCAAAAACATTTCTGCTCTGAACTGGAAGAAAAATCCCTGGGTAGAAAGCTCACATCAAGACAATAGCTCATTGGTTCACCGTAGCATCGCTCTGCTAACATGCTAACAGCACATTTGAGTTACTCACCCCCTCCCTTCCTGCGCTGAATCGTAGCATGAACGAATCACTCAGGACTCACTCACCCTCTCCCTCCTGTGCTGAATCTTAGCATGAACGAATCACTCACTCACTCACCCCCTCCCTCCTGGCTCACAGCTTCTTCTTCTTGGTTGGCAACCAATGTTATGGAGCATTACCGCCCCCTGGCACACAGCTCAGAGGACATTTAGATGAGAAAATATATATTTGACAAATTTGAGGAAAATACTAATAAAATAAAATAAAAATGAATAAAATAAATGTTCCCTTTAGATATCTTTTTTTTTGCTCTATAAAAATAGTTGTTTTTCTTTTTCAATCACTCATCTTAGCAGTAGGATTTACATGAAAAGAGAAACAAATTAAGTTTGAGTGAAAATGTACATGTTTTAATGTACAGGGCTGTTTCGAGGTGACCGACTGGGAAACACTCTGTGAGCCTCACGCCGAGGACATCAATGGGCTTACTGAGTGTATCACAGGCTACATAACTTTCTGCACCGACTCCATTGTTCCAGCTCAGACTGTTCATTGTTACCCAAATAACAAGCCGTGGGTGACTAAGGACATCAAAGCCCTCCTCAACAACAAGAAGAGGGCTTTCAGAGGGGGCAACAAAGAGGAGGTGAGGAAGATCCAGGTGTTACTAAAGGACAAGATCAGAGAGGCTAAGGACAATTACAGGAGGAAGCTGGAGTGGAAACTCCAGCAGAACAGCATGAGAGAGATGTGGAGGGGCATGAAGACCATCACTGGATTCAGGCCAACCAACAGCAGGGGAGCTGAGGGAGGTGAGAATAGAGCCGACGAGTTGAATCTGTTTTTCAATAGATTCGACACCACAGTGTCTGCTCCCACCCCCACAACCTCACCTGCAGTCAGCCTGGAATCCAGAGCCACACCACTGTGCCAGCCTCTCTCTTCACATGTTGCCTCCTGTGAGATTCCTGACACCCCTCCCCCACCCATCACCTTCACTCAATACCAGGTTGAGATGCAAATGAGGAGACTTCACTCAGGCAAGTCTGCTGGACCAGACGGAGTGAGTCCCCTTGTCCTCAAGACCTGTGCCCCCCAGCTGTGTGGAGTCTTTCATAAACTGTTTATGCTGAGTCTGAGTCTGCAGAGGGTCCCGGTGATGTGGAAGACATCATGCCTCGTCCCTGTACCAAAGACGCCTCGTCCCAGTGGCCCCCAGGATTACAGGCCCGTGGCACTGACCTCCCACATCATGAAGACCCTGGAAAGGCTCATCCTGGACCAGCTGCGACCCATAGTAAGACCACATCTGGATCCCCTTCAGTTCGCTTATCAGCCTCGTCTCGGAACAGAGGACGCCATCATCTACCTGCTCAATCGTGTCTACACCCATCTGGACCAGCCGGCGAGCACTGTGAGGGTCATGTTTTTTGACTTTTCCAGTGCTTTCAACACCATCAGGCCGACCCTCCTGGGTGATAAGTTAGCAGCGATGCAGGTGGATGATTCTCTGGTGTCCTGGATTGTTGATTACCTGACAGGAAGACACAATATGTACGTCTCCCACAGTGTGTGTCTGACAAGGTGATTAGCAACACAGGGGCACCACAGGGGACTGTCCTCTCCCCCTTCCTCTTCACCCTCTACACCACAGACTTCAGCCACTGCACAGAGACCTGCCATCTTCAGAAGTTTTCTGATGACTCTGCGGTGGTTGGATGCATCAGCAGGGATGATGAGACAGAGTACCGGGCTGTGGTCGACTCCTTTGTCACGTGGTGTGAGCAGAATCATCTGCAGCTCAACGTGGCAAAGACCAAGGAACTGATCGTGGACTTCAGGAAGACCAGGAAACACTTGACCCCTGTTTCAATCCAGGGGGTCAGTGTTGACATTGTGGAGGACTATAAATACCTTGGAGTACACATTGACAATAAACTGGACTGGGCTAAAAACACCACAGCACTTTACAGGAAGGGCCAGAGTCGTCTCTATTTTTTGAGGCGACTGAGGTCCTTCAACATCTGCCAGAAAATGCTGAGGATTTTCTATGAGTCTGTTGTGGCCAGTGCGATCCTCTATGCTGTTGCATGCTGGGGGAGCAGGCTGAGGGTCGCAGATGCCAACAGACTTAATAAACTGATCCGTAAGGCCAGCAATGTTGTGGGGATGGAGCTGGACTCCCTCAAGGTGGTGTCGGAGAGGCGGATGCTGTCCAAGATAAAGACAATGTTGGATAACACCTCCCACCCACTCCATGACATGTTGGTCAGTCACAGGAGCTCGTTCAGTGAGAGACTGAGATTACCGAAAAGCACCACTGAACGACACAGGAAATCATTCCTGCCTGTGGCCATCTCCCTGTACAACGCATCCACTTAACACACTGTTTGCTGCTACAGCTACACATGTTTCTTTTCCAACTATTTATTTATAAGTGACTTATGTATGTATGTATGTATATATATGTATATATTGTACTATTCTTAGTTAGCGTATTGTCTGTCTTGTATTAATGTTGGTTTAAAATGGAGCACTGTAACAAAAAATAATTTCCCCCAGGGATCAATAAAGTATTCTGATTCTGATTCTGATTCTGATTTTGCACTCTCTGGTCAACTGACTCAGTGACTCAATGACTCAAAAAACTCGATTCACTTTGGTGAGTAACTCATTCAAACTCGATTCAGTAAAAAGAATCGAATTTACCATCACTACTGCAGATACATATTTGATATTAGCTGTTTCTGCTTAGATTGGTCGTGTCCAAATTCATGGGCTGCATCCTCCTGAGGACGCATTTGTAGACCGATTACGACACAGCGACGCACCGAAGGCTGTCCAAATTCGTAGAATCCTCCGAATGCAGCCAACAAGTGTGACCTCCTTTTCCCCGAATTTGACGGATGGGTCGGGTGTTTCCTTCGTGGCCCACCATATCCCAGAATTCATAGCGTGGCCCAGCCAAACTCCAGTTTCCGGCAATGGCGGCCGCTACTAAGTTTTAAAATTACTCCTATTAATCTTTATGGGTCACAAAATAAACTTTTAACATATTTTCAGGCGAGAATGTGGGTGTGTAAACTTCAAATATCTGCTCGATTTATCAAGATATCGCATATTTGCAAAAGTGCTTTGATGTTTTTAGAGACGTCTGTTACCCACCAGCTCGATAGCTAGCCGAGAGCTCGAGGGTCACTGAAGCCGCTGAGAACGGCACAACTCCCGGCACATCATTTTCAGATCACTGCAGACTTTCGCTACTCAGGTTAAACGTAATATATAAGTCACTTAGACAACCTAAAAATTTTATTGTTTGGCTTTTTTCAGTGTTTTATTTGTTCGTGAGTCAATCGGTTTGGCTGAGATTAAAGTTATTAGATTAGATTAGATAAAATAAAACTTTATTAATCCCCCGGGTGGGTTCCTCCTTAGTTTTCACACAGCTGAATAAACGTCAAACAGAAAACTGACTAAACAGAAGTGTGAGATGGTCGAGAATTTACACCAGTGTCCTGTTATATTTTAGATAGCAAGGAGCAGATGGCCAAGTTTATTAAACTCCACCGAGACAGCGGTGACGCTAATCAGAAGGCTAGACCGTCCAATTTCACAGCTGTTTACTTCCGGCCTACCCGACCTTCTGAGGACCTGGCCCACGTAGACTGCGAACGTCGGGTCCTCAGGAGGATGCAGCCCATGAATATGGACACGACTATTGTCAGTTCCACAACTGTTCCGTCACTTTATTCTGTCCCCAAAAACACTTACCTTGTGTTACCTTTAAGTCATTTATGTTACCATGTATAGGTAAGCTAACTGTTTTAATAGTAGGCGTTTGCTAGCCACTATTAAAAGCAAGTGTCCATTAAAAAAGCTAATGGTTTGAAATTACTTCCAGTAATAATGCAGTAACAAAGTGTCACAGCAGTATAGAGATTGAAAATGTCGCGTCATTCAGGGGTAAAACCGCAAAGGATTCTGGGAACTCGTGGCAAGAGGTACTAGCGCACGCAGGCTTTCAATTGAAATTACATTACACAGCGATAAAAAGAAACACAAAAAATTGCAAGAAGCTGTTGTATTATTAACTGCAATAGCCGGTCGCATGACAGCCACGGGAAGCCGACGGGTAAAGAGATCGGTTGTTATCGGATTATGTCGTTGAAGAGAAATTGTTCAAGCCATGTTTCCGAAGTAACAAAGAGCCAACGTATGGCCTGGATTGCAGCCATTCGAAGACCAAATATAACGTCCCAGAACACTCCAGCTCACATGTTAGTCTGCTCCAAGCATTTCCACAAAGGTAAGTGTTTTGTTGTAGTTAATACGTCATTTTTCATAACATCATTCGTGATATAGGTTACAAGCAAGTCTGGTGCTAAACAGAAATTGTCGCGCTATGCTCCTTTGTTTATTGTGCATAAATAGTGAATTGTCCTGACACAATATTGTGTTTCGCTTGTTATTACCATGGTACATTGACAAAAACATATACTTTTATTCACAGGGTAAAAAAGGTTTTTTTGTATCACTAATTGCCCAGTACGATTACAGCATACAATATTATTGTCACTGCTACATTTCTGTAATGCGAACCAGAAATTATTTCCAATACTAATTAATTACTAATGAGCTTAAAGGTCCTATTAATAAACGTTTAACGAATGTGTATTTATGAAGACGATTTGTGAGACTGGTAAACTTATGATATGTACGATGGTCTTTCGTTCTACACGGTGCATTTCAAGGTCCTGTACCCATCCGTCGGTAAACTGTACCTGTTACTAAACTTCATGAGTGTATGCACTCACTCCAAGAACCGTATAATTATATATATGATCGTGGTGAAGGTTGGGCAGCACGCTAACGTATTTTGTCCATTCTGTGTGCTCGTAAGGGTCTTACCCTTTCACTCCTTTGATTTTTTCCTCGTATCTTTTCTTTGACTTTTTATCAAGTCTGTCTTTGTACGGACCGGCATTGTTCTCCTTCGTTTTGTACATAACTTTTTTGGGGGGCAAAGAAAAAGCAAGAAGGTATTGGAACCGGAGAATGAACGTTTTGCGGTGTTGCAAATGCTTACGTTTGATGCATTGCTTTGATTGTTTTGCCACGAGTACCCGGCATGCAATGCGCGAAAGTCACATGGTCTGTCAATCTTTATAGTAAGTAAGTATACCTTTCAGCATGACTATACAGCAATAGTCATGTCACTGGCAGTTTTTAATTTTCAGTTTCTATACAATTTCAGCATTAACCTGAAAAAATGCAGCTTTTCTATTGAGTTTAGTGTAGTTTATTTCCTGGGGGAAATTCCCCAGCTTTATTCATAAAACTAAGAAAACTATGATGATTACCTTAATAGCTGGTGAGACTTCATCAAAGAAAGCGCCAAAGTCAAAAGGATTGATGACTGCCATGACGTTCATAACATCTTCCTTGCTCTTTAGCTGGGAAGGAGTTGCTGCAAGGTTGACCACCTGACTAAAAGTGAGCAGATCTGCTATATTCACCTGGAAGATACAACCAGCAATTCAGTAAGAAAACAAAAACAAGTTGGCATATGCCTACATTTGTTTTCTTCAATTCACTGTGAGGGACACTATATGTTTTTCACTTATTTACCTTTAACCCTCTAAGGTTAATTCATCATAGGGGGTAACCCCACTCTATTATTGCTGCACACCCAAAACATTTTTTTGGACGTAAAATATTCTAGAATGTTGTTTTACTGTTCTCAGGGAGGACAAGAACTAAAATTTATGGCTTACCATGGAGATGTTGAAGTCTTTGAGGTCAGAGTATGATGTATATTGGACAAATGGACCCAGATTTGCTTTAACCCATTGGGCATCACTCTCATTTTGTTGCCTGCAAGCTAAGGCATGCAGACAAAAGTTAGGATGTGCTCAATTTAGCAAGGTTTGTGACTGGTAGACATGAAAGAATTTAAGTTTTTTGTGTGAGTGCTTTTCAAGACATTTCACACTGGAAAGCACATAACGCACCCTATGTCTGCCCTACCTGGCTCATTGATGGCATTTTCAGCATTTCTTAGGTAGCCCAGCAGACCATGTGTGATCTCTTGCCGTCTGTACAGTGGCATCTCCTGGATAACTGAAGCCAACCCACTCACACTGCAACAGTTGAAAGAAAACGTTCTCATGTTGTTCTTTGTCAGTATTGTCATTTTCATTTGCAACAAAATCTTGATTGCTCCAAGAAAACTACTCACATGACTTGGTAATTCATGCAGCTGATGTTTGTGGTTGTGTTTATGAGCATTTCTGGAGTAAAACTGGCAAGGATAGGAATCAGTTTCACATGGAACCAAAGTTCATAGTCGTTTGTCGTGAAAGTGGAGAAATGTGGACTGATGACGATGAAGGTCGCATTCATGATCCGATCTCTCACAACAGGCTGGAAATGTGGGCTCTGTCATATTAAAGTGGAAAAAGACATAAGCAAAGGTGAGATTGCATGTTGGAAGTACACCCATACAACATGGTACAAAGGCTGTAACCATTTGTTTTCTAAGATACAATAGCCAACAATGGATGTAGCGGTTGAGACCGATGTCTTATTCTGTGTTTACTTCTAGAATCAAATATCCGCATTGTCCTCCTTCACCCTTTTAGGAGGCTAGCCTACCTGTCCATTGGCTGTCAGCTGTGTCAGGAATTCATCCACATTTTTTAGAACATTGCCCTCTTCAAGTTTTTCAAACACAAGATCAATAAAATCTGTGTTATTTGAGGCTCCAGAGCTCAGTAGCAGCTGTGCCACCTCAGAGGGATTGAGCGTTGACAACAATCCAGCCTACAACAGGGAATCAACATATTATCAGACAACAGTAATGACCAATGCTGTGGGTAAAGGATTAGAGTTTGCAACCAAAGAAAGTGTGCTCTATGATTTGCTTGTATTTTTGATATGGCAAAATAAACTCCTGTGTTTGTCTTCTTAAGTCTACAATTTTGTTTTCCTGTTCTTAAGGGAGGACTAGAAGTGCAATGTAGGGCTTACCGTAGAGATGTTGAAGTCTTTGAGGTCAGAGTATGATGTATATTGGACGAATGGACCCAGATTTGCTTTAACCCATTGGGCATCACTCTCATTTTGTTGCCTGCAAGCTAAGGCATGCAGACAAAAGTTAGGATGTGCCAATTTAGCAAGGTTTGTGACTGGTAGACATGAAAGAATTTAAGTTTTTTGTGTGAGTGCTTTTCAAGACATTTCACACTGGAAAACACATAACGCACCCTATGTCTGCTCTACCTGGCTCATTGATGGCATTTTCAGCATTTCTTAGGTAGCCCAGCAGACCATGTGTGATCTCTTGCCGTCTGTACAGTGGCATCTCCTGGATAACTGAAGCCAACCCACTCACACTGCAACAGTTGAAAGAAAACATTCTCATGCTCTTCTTTGTCACTATTGTCATTTTCATTTGCAACAAAATCTTGATTGCTCCAAGAAAACTACTCACATGACTTGGTAATTCATGCAGCTGATGTTTGTGGTTGTGTTTATGAGCATTTCTGGAGTAAAACTGGCAAGGATAGGAATCAGTTTCACATGGAACCAAAGTTCATAGTCGTTTGTCGTGAAAGTGGAGAAATGTGGACTGATGACGATGAAGGTCGCATTCATGATCCGATCTCTCACAACAGGCTGGAAATGTGGGGTCTGTCATATTAAAGTGGAAAAAGACATAAGCAAAGGTGAGATTGCATGTTGGAAGTACACCCATACAACATGGTACAAAGGCTGTAACCATTTGTTTTCTAAGATACAATAGCCAACAATGGATGTAGCGGTTGAGACCTATGTTTTATTCTGTGTTTACTTCTAGAATCAAATATCTGCATTGTCCTCCTTCACCCTTTTAGGAGGCTAGCCTACCTGTCCATTGGCTGTCAGCTGTGTCAGGAATTCATCCACATTTTTTAGAACATTGCCCTGTTCAAGTTGTTTAAGCACAAGATCAATAAAATCTGTGTTATTTGAGGCTCCAGAGCTCAGTAGCAGCTGTGCCACCTCAGAGGGATTGAGCGTTGACAACAATCCAGCCTACAACAGGGAATCAACATAATATCAGACAGCAGTAATGACCAATGCTGTGGGTAAATGAATAGAGTTTGCAACCAAAGAAAGTGTGCTCTATGATTTGCTTGTATTTTTGATATGGCAAAATAAACTCCTGTGTTTGTCTTCTTAAGTCTACAATTTTGTTTTCCTGTTCTTAAGGGAGGACTAGAAGTGCAATGTAGGGCTTACCGTAGAGATGTTGAAGTCTTTGAGGTCAGAGTACGCTGTATATTGGACGAATGGACCCAGATTTGCTTTAACCCATTGGGCATCACTCTCATTTTGTTGCCTGCAAGCTAAGGCATACAAACAAAAGTTAGGATGTGCCAAATTTAGGAAGGTTTTTGACAGGTAGACATGAAAGAATTTGTGGGCAAGTTTTTTGTCTGAGTGCTTTTCAAGACATTTCACACTGGAAAGCACATAACGCACCCTATGTCTGCCCTACCTGGCTCATTGATGGCATTTTCAGCATTTCTTAGGTAGCCCAGCAGACCATGTGTGATCTCTTGCCGTCTGTACAGTGGCATCTCCTGGATAACTAAAGCCAACCCACTCACACTGCAACAGTTGAAAGAAAACGTTCTCATGCTGTTCTTTGTCACTATTGTCATTTTCATTTGCAACAAAATCTTGATTGCTCCAAGAAAGCTACTCACATGACTTGGTAGTTTGTGCAGCTGATTGTTGTGGTTGTGTTTATCAGCATTTCTGGAGTAAAACTGGCAAGGATAGGAATCAGTTTCACATGGAACCAAAGTTCATAGTCGTTTGTCGTGAAAGTGGAGAAATGTGGACTGATGACGATGAAGGTCGCATTCATGATCCGATCTCTCACAACAGGCTGGAAAATTGGCATCTGTGAAATTGAGGTGGAAAAGAAGCTAAGCAATACAGAGACTGCATGTTGTAAATGTACTCATACAACATGGTAAATGGTAAATGGCCTGTATTTATATAGCGCTTTACTAGTCCCTAAGAACCTCAAAGCGCTTTACATATCCAGTCATCCACCCATTCACGCACACATTCACACACTGGTGATGGTAAGCTACATTGTAGCCACAGCCACTCTGGGGCGCACTGACAGATGGTACAAACGCTGCAAACAATTCTTCTCTATGATAGACTCCATGAAGAGTTGTGTAGCGGTTTAGCAAATGTCTTATTCTGTCTTATCCTGCTGGAATAAAACACCAGGATTGTCCTCCTTCACCCTTTTAGAAGCCTAGCATACCTGTCCATTGGCTGTCAGTTGTGTGAGGAATCCATCCACATTTTTTAGAGCGTTGCCCTCTTGCAGTCGCTCAAACACACGATCAATCAAATCTGTGTTATTGGAGGCTCCCAAACTCAGTACCAGCTGTGCCATCTGAGAAGGACTGAGGACTGACAACAATTCAGCCTACAAAAGAGAACCAGCATAATATAAGACAGCAGTCATGGAAATGTTCTGGGTAAAAGAATTCCGTTTACAGGAAGATGTACATCTGCAGTTGGCACTCACAGTGGACAAATTAGGATTGAAGGCTTGCAAGTCCTGCACAGTTGCAAAATCAGAGAAGTCGCCAAGGTTTGCCTTTAGCCACGCTTGGCTCCCCGTGATAGATGAGACACAGCCAGGATCTGCAGAAAAAGCAAGAAAGTTATTGACAGGGTAATATACCACATGTTGTCATGGAAAAACCAAAGTGAGCTTGAGTTTCTCCTTTTACCTGTTGAGTCATTTCTTGACAAGAACGGTTTGATGAAGTGAGTGAAGACTGCTTGCTGTGTGTCTCTGTCCATGGATGCCTTTTGGCTTCCAAATGCCTGAATGCTACATTTGAGAGAAAGCTTTCAATAAATAACATATTCAAAATTCAACATAATTCAACATAATTCAATCACAACCATTTCAAACTTAAATCCCATTGATATTTTAAAACATTGTAATCAACGAATTGGTACATTTTGTCACAACCTCTTCTACACAGAATAAGACCTTTTTTTCTTTCGTTTATTCATCCACACTTTCATTTCCTTTGATAATTTGCTAATTTCATATGGTATTCTAATATGGGATAGTGAACTCTTTTAACCTCAGTCTTTTCATGTCTGGAAAAGTTTCCAACCGCGTTTTACATCGTGGGTAGCAATTTTCAGTTGAAATTCTCCTTTTGACTTATTTTCAATTACATAATTTCTGAATCATTATATAACATTCTTATTTTAAAGAAACACCTTCACAAACGACCACCTTATATTAAGGTGTATGCCTCTTTTACAACAGCTGGGTCACACAGTCATAACTTGTTTGGTCTGACTTGTAATTTAACAATTATGTGATACGCATTTTTCTTTCTTCCTTTTTTTAGTGATTTCAGTGGACTTTGGGACCCTGACATCAACATTCAATGCAATACACAGTGAGAAATGTGTTACATGTTAGAATATTCAATTAAAATTGTTTATGTCTTTAATGATTTCCATAAGCAGTTAACAGCAGTCACCAGCAATAATTGGTAAAATGGAATTTATTCACTTACATCTCTTGGAAAGAGGTGCAGCTGAAGTTCCACTTGCTGAGCTGGTTTAGGAAGTTTCCATTGACATAAGGCAAAAGAGGAATCATCTTCACAGAGAACCACAGCCTGATGAATTCGGGGTCACTGTCATTACCCAAACGAAGGCTGTCCAGGACTCCAAATACATCCAGAACATCAAATCCAGGGACATTGTTGTTCTGTTACAAGACAAATTTGCCATTTACCATTCTTAAAAGCTGTTACATGTTTTACACCTACACTATACTGAAGTAAAGCATTAGCTCATTTACCAGGTCAAAGAACACTTGTAAAGTCGACTCTACAATCTGCCTGAGATTTTGTTCCACCATCCTCGACTTTTCATCTGTTAAGCTTGCATTTTTACCCCTTTTACAGGATAACTCGCCTGTCAGTTTGTCCACTGCAGCAGAGCTCTAAGAACACATAGAGCAGGTGAAAGCACTGGGTTACTGTCAGTAACTTAGCACAAGGGGGAGTCATTTATCAACAATGCTTTGTGGGGACATTTAACAATTTAAGGTTTAACGATGAATTGATCATTTTTTACTCAAATTAATTCCAAAAGGCTTACTCTTTGAGTGGCATCTTGTAGATTTGCTGCATGGCAGGTTTCCTGGAAACCGTTGGTATGAGTGGTGGCTTTGCTTAAATAAGAAAAAACACGGTAACAGAAATGAATAATAAAGTCATCTTTAACTAAAATAACATCCCTGGAATGTATTAGGTCTACAAACTGTTATTTGAGTTTGCATGCCTACCTGTTTTCAGATAAACCTGGTCCTATAAAATGCAAAAAAGAAAATGAATGAACACATGTATTAACATTTTCAAATTAATAATTAATGGAACATGGATAAGAATTATGTTAATGGATTAACTTTTAAAAGAAGAAAAAGGTGACATTTTATTTTATATTCATATAAAATTGCATATGGTTTATATGTATAAAAAAACTTACCTTGTGTTGTGTTGGACTGTAATGTAAATTTATAAAAGAACATGTTAATTCATGTATTTCATTGTATTTCATTGTTTTTGATTTAATTATTTAATCTTGAAAAAAAAAACACTTACAGTTGCAGAGACCAGTCCTGACATACATACTATAGATTTTTTTTTTTTATAAAAAAGAAAAGTGTTAGATAAGGATATATATTCTATTAAATGACTAATTGAATGTTCAGAGATACTTACCAATGCCAATAGATGACAGTAGCAGAACTTGCACTGACATTCTTATGCCACCCATCGTGAGAACTCAGTTCTCACTTTTTTTTTTTTGCCCCTCAGTTGATTTTCAGATTATTTAATTTTTATTTTAGATAAAGATGTAAAGTGATACTGGAAAAGAAAAATGAAGTGATAAAAGGGCATTTTAATTATTGCACTGCATTAGATCTAAGAATTTTTGATACAGAAACTCAATAGTAAAGAACATAAAAGTATGACGTTTGAATGACATGTTATACATACACAATGCATACATTTTCTTTTTAATCCCTCCAAAGCTAAAAGCAAGATTAAATAGTATGGATTATTTCTTACTTCTGTACAGTGATTATAAATTAATAACAGAGTATATCAGAAAGCGAGATAAGCCATAGAAAGATGTTTAACTGGTTGAACTCACCTCTCGAACTCCTTCACTCTGTGAGAGAAGACTGAAGATCGCTGTTAGTGGTGAAGCAGGTATATACTGGGTGGAGTAAAAGAAAATTAGAGCAGATGAAGCAAAACATGCTGAGAATGTTCTAAAAGATTCCATTGGGTAAACACATTGCCAAACACTGTGCACAAACAGTATGGACTACACTTTGGATAGATGATCATTATTCAGTCAACAGAACATGGAATTTGCGAAATATGATTAAGGACTGTTGATATGTAAATGCTTTGGTTATAACTACCTACAACGGGGTTAAAGGAAATGTTATGATTTTGGATAAAGTTTGGCAAAATCAATGTTTATGGCTAAAAAGAAAACAAAGAGGATATGATTTTGGGTTACCTAGACCTCCTTTTTTCCACCTCAGTCTCACATTACTCAGCAACTGCTGAGTAATAAAATTGTTACCCCTTATGAAGGCAGTCCATCGTTACCTTTTAGAGTTTACATATACTGTAGTGGTACTGGCAATAATTTGGATGCAAGCATGAACTTTGAAGACCAAATCAGGGAATACAATCTAGCCTCCATTGCTTTTCACTTCCTTCACCTAGGCACCTAGGCAAATCTCATGCATCTCAAATAATAATCTCGTTACCTGAAAACATCCTCATTTCTGTGTCCTTATCACTGACATTTCCCAGATTTGGTACCTTATATGCTTTTAGTCTAGCATAAATCTCTGTTCTGTAATTGGCATGAAAATTCTGGACTATCTGCTTGAATGCTTCCTAAGCTTTTAATTCAGCTGGCTTTTTCTTTTGAACTCTTCATTAAGCATTAGTTCATGGACTTTAGGAGAAGATTTCAAAAACACCTTCCTTAATTTTGGCTTTACTTTTCTTGAGACCAAACATACTCCTTAAAAGCTGAAACACATCACTGTTTCTGCCCAGTCACTGTAGTTGTTTAGTAGTAGTTGGAAGATCGTAAAGAATTTGCTTCTGGGCTCAACAAACACTAGTACAACCGGGTTGATGAGTTTCAATGTTATGCAAAATCTACGTAGGTTACATCAGTGTCGTTTGGACCTGTTGTTGACATTGTTATATTTTTGACTATAAAACAGGTCAGAAAGTTATACTGATACATCCCAACAAAACCATTCACAAAATTTACAATAAAACAGTAACATCGTCAAGTTTTGGTTTTACAACCGAAAGTAAAGTGAAGCTGTGCAATTACTGTTGTGTCATTACTAAATTATTAAAACTGTTACTCCTTTCGATGTGGAGGAAGCAGCAGCTTTACTCTGAGCCCCTCTTGGATGACTGAACTTCTCACCTTATCTCTAAGGGGCTCCAACAGTTGGAAAACATCATATAATTAAAAAGTCAGCAATACAGAATGAAAGAGAATAGGAACGCTTCATAAGATGTGTTTTAACACTGGCTTTGGAGATAGGGGGTCAATAATGCAAATGTGGTGTGAAAGAGTTCCAGATATGAGGCACCACTTGGCTGAAAGCTCATAGTTCAGATAGTCAGGCGAGCAGGGAATATAACAAGAGCAACCGAAAAGGAAAATCTCAGAGTACAAGAACGAGTGGCCATGTGCAGAAGATCAGAGATATATGGAGGTGCGAGATCATGGAGAGATTTGAAAGTAAGAAACAGAATCTTAACATTTATGCAGTATTTTTACAGGAAGCCTGTGAACCTGTTGAAAGACAGTATTAATATTTTCTATAGAAAGGTCTGGTAATACGATGAGCACCTGCATTTTACACCAGTTGATGTCTATAGAGACGTTTGGAAGGATAGAATTGTAATAATCAATCTGACTGTCACGGTATGGCATGGCACACCGTGGAAGGAGTGGGGAAGGAGGACCCAGGCGCGGTGCTCTATGTACAAACAGTGTTTATTTACAGAGTGAAAACAACGTAACAATAAATCCCCGTGTTCTCCCAGACTCCCATGTCGTGTCTCCCGTGAATAGTTCGTGTGCTCTCTGCTCCCGTGTCAGCACCCCCCGGTGCTCGCTGCTCTCCGTGCCTTCCACGCCCTTCCTGCGGGAAACAATAGCACAGCTGTCAGGACACTCAGAAATGGCAGGCATACACTTTCTGACTAAACTTAGACAGTGTGACTAACGTGGAGTCTAATGCAATGATCCCGCGTCGGTGGGAGCTCCAAGACTCTCTTAAGTAGCTCCCCCGACGAGGCCTGATCAGCAGCAGGTGTGTGGCTTCGGGTGTGGCCAGTCCCCTTGCAGGGCCACACCCTCCAGGCCTGACGCCGCCTATAAACAAGTGCTCAGCCACCCACACACACATATACACAAGCACAGGGAAGGGGGAGCAACACCAAAATACACAACAATAACAATAATAATAATAATAATATAATACAATACATGACTGCTCAGGGATCCTGGGTCGCCCAGTCCCAGGGCCCTGACACTGACACGTGACCAGAGCATGTACAGAAAATGCAGCGTTGTATTATGTGGTGACAAAATGTGACACCATTTCAGATATATTCACCTATTAACATTCCAACGTAGCACTTATTCTTTGATGCCAGTAACTGTAATGTGTTAAAATAGGACACGCCTAAAAAGCAAAACCACAGTTAAACTTGTTTTTTCAGGTGCAATTACTGTTGTGTCATTGCTAAATTATTGAAAGTGTTACTGTTCTTCACCCCCGTGACACATTTTCACATATTGTCTAAAAAGAAGTAGGGAAAAGGGGTAGTATAATCTTTGGAACCCAGAATTGTAAACGTCATATTGTGACGTTATTGTTGATCAATGGTTATGACAATTTGCATATTAATGATCAAGAATCTGACCTCACTGCCCATGTTTCATTCAGTGGTGCTAGTTTCAGTCATTTTGCAAAGGTACTGTTTATAAGGTTGGGGAAACCTCGAGTGAGCTAAGACTCAAGAAGTAACTTGGAGGAGTGAAGAAACGTTTCTCCCGCTGAAAACGTTACGTCTAGATGAACAGAATTAATGTTTTTGGGATTTCCTCACCTGGATGATTGAGCATGCATCAAGACATTGAAAATTTGGTACATTCTAGAAAAACAAATTTTGCATTGCCATCGCTTATTAATATCGTATAGTTATCAGATGTTCAGTGATAACGTTTGTTGCCCAGGAGATGCAAAGAGTTGTGAAAATTTTGAGAGGGTTTTGATGTTTATATCTATTGTGCAGAACCTTCAGGAATAGCGTTACAAAAGACTACATTTTTCAAATGCTCACTGAAATGCACACTGAAAGACTGCACAAAGCTAAGGAGAAGCTATCACAATCTTCAAAGCACAAGCCGGTCATTGGTAAGGTAAGATAAGATAATATCTACAGGGAGTGCAGAATTATTAGGCAAGTTGTATTTTTGAGGAATAATTTTATTATTGAACAACAACCATGTTCTCAATGAACCCAAAAAACTCATTAATATCAAAGCTGAATGTTTTTGGAAGTAGTTTTTAGTTTGTT